CTCCTTTTGAAAGTTCAACAGATTATTGTGACTGTTGTGACTTTCTTTCTTTTTTTATTTATTTGTTTATTTTTTTAGCTCCTACTTATGAATGAGGGCATGTATTTCTCTTTCTGTGCCTGGCTTATTTCACTTAACGTAATTTTCTCCAAGCTCATCCATGTTGCTGCGAATGGTAGTATTTCTTTCTTTTTTTTTTTTATGGCAGAATAGCATTCCATTTTGTAAATATACCACATTTCTCTTATCCAGTCATCCATCCATGGACTTTTAGGTTGGTTCCACTCTTGGCTATTGTAAAGACAGCTGCAGTAAACGTGGGAATGCAGGTATCCATTCAACATGATGATTTCCATTCCTTGGGGTGTATACCCAGCAGTGGGACTGCTGGATCGTATGGAAGATCTATCTATAGTTATTTGAGGAACCTCCATACCGTTTTCCATAATGGCTGCACTAATTTACAGTCCCACCTACAGTGTAGAAGCCTTCCTCTTTCTCCACATCCTCACCAGCATTTGTTATTCTCTGTCTTTCTCATAATGGCCAATCTAAATGGTGTAAGATGATGTGGTTTTAATTTGCTTTTCCCAGATGCTTAGTGATGTTGAGCATTTCTTCATGTGTCTGTTGGCCATTTGTATATCTTCCTTTGAGAAATGCCTATTTAGCTCCTTTGCCCATAATCAGGATACTTGCTTTTTTTTTACTAAATTGTTTGAGTTCCTTGTATATTCTGGATATTAATCCCCTGTCAGATACATAGTTTGCAAATATTTTCTCCCTTTCCGCATGTTGTCTTTTCACTCTCTTAATTGTTTCTCTTGCTGTGCAGCTTTTTAGTTTGGTGTAACCCCATTTGTTTATTTTTTCCTTTTGTTGCCTGTGCTTTGGGGGTCTTATTCATAAAGTCTTTGCCCAGTCATACTTCCTGAAGTGTTTGCCCTATATTTTCTTTTAGGAGTCTTACAGTTTCAGGTCTTATATTTAAGTCTTTAATCTATTTTGAGTTGGTTTTGGTAAATGACAAAAGGTATGGGTCTAGTTTCATTCATCTACATATGGATGTCCTGTTTTCCACACACCATTTATTGATGAGCCAGTTTTTTCCCCAATGTAAGTTCTTGGTGCCTTTGTCAAAGATCCGTTGGCTGTAAATATGTGGGTTGACTATTAGGTTCTCTATTTTTTTTCCAGTGGTCCAAGTGTCTATTTTTATACCAGTACCATGTTGTTGTGGTTACTATAGCTTTATAGTATAATTTGAAGTCAGGTATTGTTATGCATCCAGCTTTATTTTTTTATTTTTATTTTTTTGCTCAGGATTTCTTTGGCTATTTGGGGGTTTTTGTTGTTCAATATGAATGTAAGGATTGTTTTTTCTATTTCTGTGAAGAATGTCACTGTATTTTGATGGGGATTGCATTGAATCTGTTGATCACTTCAGGTTAGTATGGACATTTTCACAATGTTAATTCTTCCAATCCAGGAGCATGGAATATCTATCTTTTTGTGTCTTCTTTCATTTCTTTCAGTAGTTGTTGCTGTTCTTGATGTAGAGATCTTTCATCTCCGTGGTAAAATTGATTCCTAGGTATTTTATGTTTTTGGTGTCTATTGTAAATGGACTTGCTTTCTTGATTTCTTTTTCTGCTAGTATATTATTGAAGTATAAAATGCTGCCAATTTTTGCATGTTGATTTTGTATCCTGCAACTTTACTGAAATTGTTTATCAGCTCTAAGAGTTTTGTTTGTTTGTTTTGCTTTGTTTTTGGCAGCTGGCCAGTAAGGGGATCTGAACCCTTGACCTTGGTGTTGTCAGTGCCACGCTCTACCATCTGAGCTAACCAGCCAGCCCAGCTCTAAGAGTTTTTTGATAGTCTTTAGATTCTTCAATATGTAGGCTCATGTCATCTGCAAGCAAGGACAGTTTGACTTCATCTTTTCCAATCTGGAAGTGCCTTATTTCTTTTTCTCACCTGATTGCTCTGTCTAGTACTTCCAATAATATGTTAAATAGGAGTGGTGAGAGTGGACATCCTTGTCTTATTCCTCTTCTTATAAGAAAAGATTTTCACTTTTCCCCATTCAGGATGATGTTGGTGGTGGATTTGTCATATATATCTTTAATTGTGTTGAGTTACTTTCTTTCTATATCTAACATAATTATAGAGAGTCTTTTTCATGAATGAATGTTTAATTTTGTCAAATACTTTTTCTGCATCTTTTGAAATAATCACATGGATTTTGTCCTTGATTTTGTCAATGCGGTACATCATATTTATCATAGTGGGTAATTTTTTTGATGTGTTGCTGTATTCTGATTGCTAATATTTTGCTGAGGATTTTTTTGTCTATGTGCATCAGAGATATTGGCCTCTAGTTTTCTTTTCTTTCTTTTTTTTTTTTGTCTTTTTTTCGTGTCCGGCAACGGATCGCAACCCTCAGTGTCGCGCCCGTACCGGACCGGGACCGGCAATGGGATCGCAACCCTCGGTGTTGCGCCCGCACCTCGCTCAGCCAGTGAGCGGGAACCGGTCTGTATGTGGGATCCGAACCCTCGGCGGGAGCGCCACCACGCTCCCAAGCGGCGCACTGTAGCAGTGCGCCACCGGGCTGGCCCCTAGTTTTCTTTTTTTGTTGTATTTATTTTTGTCTGATTTTGTTATTAGGGTGATGCAGGCCTCATAGAATGAGTTTGGGAGAATGTCTTCTGTTTCAATTCTTTGGAGTAGTTTGAAAAGAATTGGTATTAATTCCTCTTTAAAGTTTTAGTAGAATTCAGCAGTAAAGCTATCTGATCCTGCGCTTGTCTCTGTTAGGAGATTGCTTTTTACTGCTTCAATCTCGTTGCTTGTTATTGGTCCATTCAAGTTTTCTATTTCTTCTTGGTTCTGTCTCAGTAGTTTGCAGATGTACAGAAATTTATCCATTTCCTCTAGGTTTTCAAACTTGTTGGCATGTGGTTGTTTATAACAGTCTCTAATGATTCTTTGTATTTCTGTGGTATGAGTTGTAGTGTATCCTGTTTCATTTCTGATTTTTGTTATTTGGGTCTTCTCTCTTCTTTTTTATGTTAGCCTAGCTAATGTTTTGTCTACTGTGTTTATCTTCTCAAAAAAACAACTTTTTGTTTCATTATCTTTTGTATCATTTTGGGGGGTTTCTATTTCATTTAGTTCTGCTCTGATAATTATTTTTCTGTCTACTAATTTTGGGACTGGATTGTTCTTGCTTTTCTATTTTTTTGAGGTGTAGCATTAGGTTGTTTAACTCTTTCCATTCTTTTGATGTAAGTGTTTATTGCTATAAACTTCCCTCTTAATCCTGCTTTTGTGGTCTCTCACAGATTTTGGTATGATGTGTCTTTACTCTCATTAGTTACAAGAATTTTTTTGATTTCCTGTTTAATTTCTTCTTGGACCCATACATCGTTCAGGAACATGTTGTTTAATTTCTATGTGTTTGCATAGTTTCCAGAGTTTCCCTTGTTATTAATTTCTAGTTTTAATCCATTGTGGTCTGAGAAGATACTTGAAATGATTTCAATTTTTAAAAATTTGTTGAAACTTGATTTCTGACCTAACGTGTGGTCTATCCTAGAGAATGTTCCATGTGCTGATGAGAAGAATGTATATTTTGTAGTTGTTGGATGAAATGTTTCATAGATATCTGTCTGAAGTTTAGTTTAAATACTTTATTTCTCTATTGATTTGTTGCCTAGATGATCAAGGTGTGTTCAGGTCCCCAACTATTATCCAACTCTTTCTTTAGATCTAATAGTGTTTGCTTGATATATCTGGGTGTTCCAGTGTTGGGTGCATATATATATATGATTATTATGTCTTCTTGCTGGATAGATCCCTTTATCATTATATTTTGGCCTTCTTTGTCTCTTTTTATGGTTTTCAGTTTAAACTCTACTTTATCCAATGTTTTTTTTTTTTTTTTTTTTTTTTTAAAGATGACCGGTAAGGGGATCTTAACCCTTGACCTGGTGTTGTCAGCACCACGCTCACCCAGTGAACTAACCGGCCAACCCTATATAGGATCCGAACCCGCAGCCTTGGTGTTATCAGCACCGCACTCTCCTGAGTGAGCCACGGGCCGGCCCTACTTTATCCAATGTTAGAATAGTTACTCCTGCTCGTTTTTGGTTTCCATTTGCATGGTGTATCATTTTCCATTCCTTCACTATTTGTGTGTATCATTACAGGTGAGTTGAATCTGTCAAAGACAGCATAGAGTTGGGTCTAGCTTTTTAATTCAATCAGTCAACCTGTGTCTTTTGAATGGGGAGTTTAATCCATTTACATTTAGGGTTGTTATTGAAAGATATTGTCTTACTCCTGGCATTTTGTGAATTTTCCTTTGGATGTTTTTCATATCTTTTGTTCCTTTCTTCCCCATTTATTGTTTGTCTTCAATGTTTACTGTTTTTTTGAGGTGGTAAGATTTAGTTTCTTTCTCTTTCTCATTTGTATTTTAGTTCTACCAGTCAGTTTTGTTCTTTTTGTGTATTTGTGGTAGTGATTATCATTTTTCATATTCTACATTCAGGACTCCCTTGAGGATTTCTTGCAGGGCTGGTTGTGTAGTGGTGAACTCCTGCAGTTTTTGTTTTTCTGGGAAACAAACTATTTCTCCCCTCATTTTTGAAGGATAGCTTTGCTGGGTATAGTATTCTTGGCTGGAAGTTTTTTTCTTCAGTATTTTCAATAAATCATCTCTTTTTCTTCTAGCCTTTAGAGTTTCTGTTGAGAAGTCTGAGGGTAGATTGATGGGGAACTCCCTTACAGGTGACTTTATGCTTTTCTCTTGCTGTTTTTAAGATTTTCTCTTTGTCTGTGAGCTTTTCCAGTTTGATTAAAATGTGTCTAGAGAGGATGTTTTTGGAGCGAATCTGTTTGGGGATCTTTGGGCCTCTGGATCTGAAGATCTGGTTTCTCTATATACCTGGGAAGTTTTGCATTATTACTTCATCAAATAGGTTTTTAATGCCTTTTCTTTCTCCTCCCCTTCTGGAACACCCATGATTGGGAGGTTTGTGGCTTAATGTTGTCTGCTATCTCTCTTAGATTTTCTTTTAAAATTCTTTTTTACTCCTACTCTTCCTCCTCCTCCTCCTCCTCTTATTCTTCTTCTTCCTGCCAGCGTACTTTGAAAAGACCATCTCCAGGGCCGGCCCCATGGCTCACTCGGGAGAGTGCAGCACTAGTAGCCATGGGTTTGGATCCTATATAGGGATGGCCAGTGTGCTCACTAGCTGAGCGTGGTGCAGACCACACCATGCCGAGGGTTGCGATCCCCTTGCCGGTCAAAAAAACCAAAAAAAACAAAAAAAAGAAAAAACCATCTCCAAGATCAGAAATTCTTTCTTCTGCTTGCTCTAACATGCTCCTTAAGTTCTTGGTTGTGTTTTTTATTTTGTTGGATGAATCCTTTAGCTCAAGGAGTTCTACTACCTTATTTCATTTGTTTTTTTTAAAGATGACTGGTAAGGGGATCTTAACCCTTGACTTGGTGTTGTTAGCACCATGCTCTCCCAGTGAATGAACCGGCCATCCCTATATAGGGATCCAAACCCATGGCCTTGTTGTTAACAGCACCACACTCTCCTAAGTGAGCCACGGGCCAGCCCTTTTCTTAAGGTATTAATCTCTTTGTAAATTTCCTCCTTCATATCCTGTATACTTTTTCCCCCATTTCATTGTGTTGTCTGAGTCTTCTCATATCTTATTGAGTTTCCTTAAGATTGTTGCTCAAAATTCCTTTTCAGTCATTTCAAGGGTTTCCTGCTTTATGAGGTCTGGTACTTGAGAATTACTGTATTCCTTTGTTGGTGTCATATTTTCTTGTTTTTTCATATTTCTAGTATCTCTACATTGATGTTTGGTCATCTGGTAGAGTAGTTGCTTCTTCTATTACTCTAGAGTGGGATTTGAAGAGAGAGGCTTCCTCTTTTTCTGGATTCTGCTAGTGATTCTTCTTGTGTCAATGCAGTTAGTTGAGTGTTCAGTGGGCTGCCCGCATGGTGGCTGTGGCTGTCACTGTGGCAGTGGGCCACCCCTGCAGTGGTTGTGGCTTGGTGGTGGCTGTGGTGGACCACCTGCGCAGAAGCGGTGTTTGCAGCAATGGCAAGACTAAAGTCCCCAGGCTCACTCCTGCCTTCTGATGAGGTGCCCAGGTGTGCCGATGCCTTCTCAAAAACTTAAATTTTTTCTCTTGCTTAGAACAGAATAAAAAGAAAGAAAACCACTTAAATTTATGTTATTCATGTTTTTAAAGAATACTACATTGAAATAATCTTGATCCATTTAAGTTAAGGTGCTGATAGAGTTTGGATATGTTGTCTCCCCAAAGCTCATGTTGAAATCTTATTCCTAATGTGGCAGTGATTGAGCTGTTTGGCTCATGGGGGGCAGATCCTTCATGAACAGGTTAATGCTCTCCCTGGGGGTGGAGTAGTAAGTGAGTTCTCACTCTGTTAGTTCCCGAGAGAGATGTTTGTTTATTGGACCCTGTCACCTCCTCTTTCTTGCTTCCTCTTGCTATGTGATCTCCTTGTACCCGTTGACTGCCCTGCTGTTTTCCACCATGAATGGAAGATGCCTGAGTCCCATGCCAAATGCAACTGTCCTAGAATCATGAGCCAAGTAAACCTCTTTTCTTTATAAATTACCCAATTTCAGGTATTCTGTTATAGCAACACAAAAACGGACTAATACAGGTGCTATCAATTGAATTGTGCTTTAAATTATTAAATTATGCCTCAGACCTGATTTTGTTTAGAAAAGGTGATCTTTCTGGACTATAAATAAAAACAAGAGAATGACAACATGACCTGAGTGAC